ATCCGTCAACGGGGTTAAAATGTTATCCACCGCAGCCCCAGTCTGATTGGTAGTTCGGTGCCAGACAGTTGAAAGATCGGCTGTGGTAAGACGTTCACCCAATAGTCGGAAAAGCTGACCCAAAGTAGTCATGTAAGCCGTATTGTCTAAATTGTCTGTGTAAAATAGAGAGTTTGCGTAAAACGAAGTTAGATTATTGTTTATCGGAAAGATTATTATTTTCCCTCAACTCGTTTGAAGCAATTTGAACAGGATAGTTTCAGTTAACCCAAAATTTTCCGTCGCAAGCAGAATGGTGAACAAAATTAGAGAAGTCCCTCAAAGTAAAATTCTGATAAATGTTGGACACAAGCCATGTAGGTAGAAGTATACTCATGATTGGGATGCCTATCATTACCAGTCCAATCTCTCAAAAAGTCTCAGAGTATTGATATACTGCTTTAACTTACCAGGAGTGTAAACAATGATACAAAACATTTAACAAATCCGTAGATGTATAATGGTACTTGGCTCAGTTCTGCGGTTTCACTAGCTGATTACCTTGTGATCAATAATATTTCGGATTGTGCAAGGCCAATGCAAGTTGTAAATACGCTGCAAAAGGTGAGAGGCTTTTTTGTATGCTTCACATTTAACGATTTCAGGTAACTCTGGATTTATTCACACACATTGTGTTCCTGTGTCGCAACGCGAGAATTTTATCGTCTCCCTATCTTATAACTTAAAAGATGCAATTATACGTTTGATTCAGCCGGCAGCGTACAACCATTAACGCAGTACTTTCGTGCTCTGGTTTTATCTTTTACCTTTTATTTGATCAGCAAATTGGGTGAATGTTATCTAGAATAAAAAATGGAGTGATGGTGAGAAAATTGCATGTTTATAGAAGAGCAAAGATGCTACAGCACGAGTCTTAGTGACAGCCTTATGACCTAGCGTAGATAACCAATTAGGTCTATTACAAAGATCGTAACCGGAAAACTTAAAATAAAGTACATAGCCAAAGCCATCGGTTATGATTTTCATTGCTTCTGGTGATATCACGTTCTTTCCACCCTTGATCATCATCACTACTTGCCGTGGACAACATATCAGATTCAGAAGGGCTGTCCGGTGAGATACACTAGCTACCCCAATCTAGGAAAGTTGGGTTCAGTGTACGACCGTGACTACATATTTCTCATCCAGGCTCGGCATTACTCATCAACAGACTCAAATTTTTCTGTAGATAGCAGCACTCCAGCACCGATAACCTATGCTCATTACATGAAGCGGAACTGGTCAGGAGGCTGAAGAATATAGTCCTACCTTCTAGGAAGACGGATATCACCGTGACGACAAAGTTATATCAGATGGCAGACGCGCGGAGACTTGTCCATCAGGAGGGATGTAGGATCATAAGTCCCAAAGTGATAAGGAGCAGCACAAAGACGAAAAACTTACGCATGGACTTTAAAATCACTTCACGGTCCCGCAACCATGACATCAGGTAGTCTAAACGTATTGCCCGTCGTTTGGCCCGCCGCGCCAAAAATGCTGCATTTTCAGAAGCTAACAAATTAGCCGAGGAGAACTGGTGGACCACAGGACGACGACGCATCGGTGTAGCCATCATATTTTCGTTCCGTGATTGGTAGTTACTGGTTGCTTCTGCGACAAGTTTTGCAGCTTCCAATTGTTCCACCAAATTGCGCAATGCCAGCATGCGCCCATTAAAACTAGCTCCAGCGGCCCCACGCGGTGGGGATAAAGCAGCAAGTAATAAGGTGCAATGCAACCGATCGATTTCTTGTATAGTCACGGAGGCTGATAACAGGGTGGATTGACCTGGCTCGGAGCCATCACTGACAGATGAAGAGACCGAGCTCATTCCTTCCCAGTCTGGCTCTCGTATTGTTAGAGCGCAATGATAATCGTCCGATTCATCGTGAGGAACGAGAAACGGAGCCAGCAAGTGGGCGATATTTAAATCCACCAAACGATACGTGAGGACACGAAGAAATGTAACCACATCGAAAATACGTGAATCCTGTAACCGTCGACAAACAAAAAAGATTAGTTTGAGGACATTCTAATTTCAAAAGAGAGTCCATTTACAAATACTTCGTGAAAATTACCTTATTTGGGTAGCGCTTACACATCGAATCAAAAGTTAGTCAAAATAAACTCTGCGCAAAAATCATTGACCCATTAAGATACGCATGTAGTTGTAAAGTTTTCCTGTTTTTTAATCTGATCTCTACCTCCGAAACTGAAACGAGTACGCAAACTACGTCACATTATCCGAATCTGGCTTTCAGCAACAGCATTTTCCCACTTGTCCCATAAAGGTTTCACGTGACTAACCAAAATCGTTACGGCAATGGTTTTTTGGGGGGATATTTTGACCCACTGTTTGTTAATTTACCCCCAATCAGCCCTCCATAATGCGCTGTACAATCGGTATTTCTTTTTTATTATTCTGACGAGATTATTTGGAACATATTTTTGCAGCAGGTAGCCAGTGTAATGATTTAACGGAAAATTGTACAGTTCCCTAGGATGTAACATGAACGCCTCGAGATAATGTGATGATCGACTGACATATTGAAAGAGAAACCATCACCATACAGACTATAGAACTATTAGGTTTTACCACCCCACAGTAAGTGGTATTATTAGCTACTGGAGATAAACATTGAAGTACCTCATCACCTCCTAATCGACAGACCGGTTTAAACTTTTCGCCTCAAAAAAATACCGTAAGGACTAAGTTGGGTACTCATTTTCAGCCCTACCGTAACTATCACAATATATTGGTATTCCGTCTACAATGTTTTTCTAACATACTATAATGTGAAATAATACCTACTGAAGACAAATGCACGGCAATGGCAGATGACAGGAGGCCATTTCTTACCCGGTCCTTGAAGTCATCTTCATTCAAATTAGACAAACGCCATAAAACTCTTTGAAGCACAACCAGACCAAACTCGTGGCAAAACGTGAACTCCGTCAGATAGTCAGCACAGCTAGCTAACGGGGAGAGTAATGAAGTCATCATCTGGTAAGAATGAACCAAAAAAACATGAAAGAATTAGAGCGAAAATTTAAAATAAATCACGTAAATTACAGTTTTCAAAAAAACTCACTCAGGAATCAGTGCGATGAAACTTATAAAATTACCGCACTTTGAAATACAACGATCGATTTTCGAAGGCAATGAATCCTGCTTATGAGAGCCAAGCAAGATAACTGTTTGGATTAAGTAAGGACTTGGTTGTTAGAGCACCCAAATAACCAGGAACAATGGAAAACTGGAAACCAAGTTATGCAGGATTGGTATAAATTCGGTCCAAAGCTAAACTTAGGCAGGATCAAGAATGATACTAATGTGTTTAATGTGATATCAGCTAGTAAGCTCTCAAACCAGGCTATGTATGGAGATACACAATGTTCAGTGTGGAAATAAAGCGAATTTCAGGCATGTGTATGAAATCCCAGTTACGGTCGCTCTGTTCCGATGGCTTGGTCACGTATTGCGTATGCCTGCCCATCGGTTACCTTTCCGTGCTCTCTTTGCACGTGCCGGGCAAGGCTGGAATAAGCGACGCGGCGGTCAGACCATGACATGGGCTAGAGGCATGAAGAAGCTGGCTTCAGCTGTAGNCGCGGCGGACAGACCATGACATGACGTAGAGGTATGAAGAATCTGGCTTCAGTTTTGGCTTCGGTTGGTGCAGCCCGCCTTCCAGGTTGGGGCCCAAGGGCTGAGGATTGTCGTTGGTTAGAGGCGTTGAGAGATATGGTCCAAAATAGCAATCAGCGGTGCGAATGTTGTAAGATGAGCCCGTAGAAATCCCGTGTTCCGTAAAAAACGACAAACACCAAAAAATACCCAAAAGTGTACGACTAAACACGAAAAAATGTGTTATTCCATTTATGTACTATTTTCCATTTTCACTGTTTCACATTCCCTTCACTCTGTTCTGTATCCCAATCCACTTCGCCTCTGTTATTGTCAGTGTTATTATTATTGTGGCGTTGACACTATGCTTGTCCGCATGCTGGTGCTAAATACATATAGAAACACATACANACATATACATATATATACATATATATATGTATACATACATATATAGAAAATCCATTTCCTCACGTCTCTTACTCAAGTAAATTTGCATAATTCAAAGGTGAAAATAAAATTAAAAAAGAATGTCTTACATTCACACTTGTCCACGGTTGCGTACCCAACCAGCGAAGGAATTTGAATCCACCAAAAACTCCAAAGCAATTAATCAAATTGACCAGATAAAAATTGCGCGGTGATGGTAATGTCTCAGCAAAAACGAATCCTCCTTCATTTACTTGCTCTGCGATCGAACACCAATCATTAAAAGGATCCCTGGGGCACAAAAGAATGGAATGCAAATTACAACCAGCATGACCAACGAAGATCAACAAGACACTGATTTCTACACTCCGAATAAGGCTTATTATTACTACCAAAAAACAGAAATGTCTTTCTTCAAATACTGTATCCAAACAATTTTCTAATCAATTTTCATTATCTCGGCAGGATTTATGACTGTTTTTTTCTCAGTGATGGAATATTTAGCAAGTTTGTTCTATATCAGGACGACTTTGATTAGCGACAAAGTCAACTTCCAATAAGCCAGCTTATCTACAGCACATGTTTCCATACAGTAAGCATCACAAGAATTTTACACTTACCGGCTAGAAAAAAAGCCTGTTACCGACGGAAAAACAATGAAGGGGGAAGATTGACCCAGATAAAATTTAGACATACACTAACTGGGAAATGAAACCGTAATTCACGACCTCACTTTCACCAGAATGGCCATCAAACTAAAATTTACACATCGCAAGCTACTTTAGAGTTGACGTAATCAAAAATTAATAGATCGTTAATCAGAGTCCATATAATAAACGCCAAGAGTGAGCATACTGTGTTAATTATTCAGTATTCATAGATGATAATCAAATGCAGACAGCAATTTGTGATCAACCATTTTTCCCTCGGGGCAACGAACGAATGCATAAAGCGCCGCCGACCAAATGGATGTGTGGTCAACTTAGCGACAGCAAACGCGAAATGTAATTAGTAATATGTACATCACTCTAGCTCTCACATATATCACAATCATAGACTTCCGGTGATCCTACTACAGAAAAACACACGTCGCTTGGTATTCCAATAAATAGTGATTAAATACCACCCATGTTTTTTGCATAGATAAATAATAAACTTTCTTGTTTTGACCCAGAAAATCTTAAGTTTACCCAATATTTGAACTTCAAACTGTTCCGAAGTACATTTTCAATGGTAACCACCAATGTGTAAGCTGTTACTTCCCAAAGTTTGACATTTATCGAAATTTTCACGATTAGTCTCTAATCCGCTTGATTTTCCACTTATATTTCGCGTCGAGGGCTGCTGGAAGCAATATATAGGTTTCATCGTTTGTAAAGGACGATATTAACTTTAGAGACGCGGAGAAAAAAGGCCACGATACCAAAAGTAGATCATGATTTTACTAATCTAATAAGAAATTTGAACACAAGAAATTACCAGGTATATAAGGAGTTCCACATTAAAATCATTGATCGGTTGACGATTGATTCATTGAGCTTAAAAACATCCTAATATTTATTGAATAAGCATGCAGCATGCATATAAGTCAATGAAAGTATGTATTCAAAAATAGATCCACTCGAAAACTTTACAGATGGAGAAACGATGATATTTGAGCTCACTTACGCGTAGGTTCCGGTACTGTTGTTTCTATCACGGCAGAGTTGATGGTAGTTTGCCTCACAATCAAAAATAAGGGTCAACAAACGCAAAGACTCCATAGCAAAGTGCCCCGCTGAAGGTGGGATTCTACTTAGAGCCGAATGCGATGCTTCAACAGGTCTCGGATCAACAGTGCCTGAATCCCCTCCCTCAGACCTGGTCACAGTCGTTTTTCGCTGAGGTTCATCCATAAGTGCCTCTCTAAAAGATGTGAAGTACTGGCAAAGAAGCCGGACTGTCAACTCCAGCATATTGTGGACACCTTCAAGTGTGTCTCGGTCCCAGTTATACACAGCCTGTGATGTCATTAGCTAAAAGTAAGAAATCGAACAACATTAAAGTAAAATATGCATGATACAAAAGAATTATATGTTTAATCTTTCAATAACGGGTTTTTTCGTATTTGTCAGACAAAGGTATTGTCTAAGAAGCAATTGAACATAAAAAGCATTTACATTCTCCAAGAGACCATTAACTGATGTTTCACAATAAAACGATACAAATGCATGGCAAAATAAAAGTAGAGAATACTGTCCCCGACCATGTTTTCTCACCTTGGTGATGCATTCTGGTAAACAATTGAATGCAAACTCTCGACACTCCGGATCCATATCTAAGGCCCGCATGCCATTTTCCCGCAACAAGTGTATGGCGCCCAACAGGCACTTTCCCAAAGGTTGACTTCGTAGACACGGGATATCCCACTGATCGGTAAAAACACGTGCCCTAAGATGATTGAACTCAGCACTTGAAAACTCCGTATTTAAGTCATGTCCCAAAATCATGCCCTCTACGGGGTCCGGAAGGTCTGACGTGGAAACACATTTTTCACTAGCACTGGGCGGCTCCGAAGCGGTAACGGATTCGGATACAACCTTTAACGGGTTAAAGTGCAGGAAAGTATGCTGTATTTAGTTCTTTTGAATGCAAAGTTAAACTTACTGAACCATAATGTAGAAAAGACGTATAAATCACATTGCATCGTAAGCCTATTAAAAGGTACAAGAGCCAAATAAAAGATGAATGTAAATAAAGTTATCACGTTTAACTCACAGTTACTTGTGAGTAGTGGTGTGGGATAATTGATACCAATTGACTGAAACTAACCATCCCTCAGATTTCACCTTTACGAACATTCCTCAGCTCTTCCAGTCAACCGTAAACTCCGAAGCACGAGACTCAAGTTTCGCTCGTATTTGAGATCATCAGTAGTGCATATCCACCATCCCGTTGGGGATTTGAACTCTGGATCCATCGCATGGAGGGCCTGTGTTACCACTGTGCCAACCAGCTCATTTCAGGGCTGAACATGACTGCTAATTCATATTTGTTCAGGTGTCAGTCGGTTCATTTTGGTCCGACAACAACGAAGTCACAGTTGACTATCTGTTAATTTCAATCCAGCTGGTTGGCACAGTGGTAACACAGGCCCTCCATGCAATGGATCCGGAGTGGTGGACATGCACTACTGATGATCTCAAATACGAGCGAAACTTGAGTCTCGTGCTTCGGATTTTACGGTTGACTGGAAGAGCTGAGGAATGTTCGTGAAGGTAAAATCTGAAGGATGGTCAGTTCTAGTCAATCAGTAAATGGAGTTGTTAGAGAAGTAGCAGAATATCATTGGCTAATTATAAGAATCACCTGCTTATTATGTTATATTCTCTATCCCTGTAAGGATACACTACAGTTCTCTTGAAATAAAAATTAAAACCTCTGTTCAATTAGGTTATGTTATATATCATGTCTTAACCTCTGTTCTAAAGTACAGTTCATTTGAAAACTGATAGAGATGACTGATGTACAGAATGCGGCAGGATAGTTTCATGCGAGCTATTCTGACACAAAAAACAGATTAAAAAAGCATAGTACATTGTGTCTGACAAGATCACTTGATGTTCTCAGTCAGATATCTTATAATCCGCTTAGCTGCTTGGGCACCTGGCCTCCTTCGACTATCCCCACCCGCCCCTGGAGAGGTCAAAACCCCGCTGGATGGAAGTAGGAACGGGGTATCTGGGGCTTCCTCCTGACGGTGGTAGAAATCTTCGCACTTCAGTGGACAGCTATCACCCGCCCAAGCTGGGTAGCCTTCAGCCAATAAAGTGCTGCCCAATTCGCGTTCTGCTTGTCTCACTGGGTGCATGAGGCTCAGGGCCGATCCCGAAAAGCGGACCGTCAACCCACGCACCAGCGAACAACAAACTTAACCGAAATTCAAAGGCCTTATGTGACAGGTCTTTAGAAGCTCCCACTCGGTCGCTTCATTCACGTTCCCAAAAAACCACAATCTCCCTTTCCGTTAGCCGCAGTTAACTTCCGCACAGTCTAAAAGATCGATCAACCGGCTGCCTTAGCTAAAACCCTTGAAATCCTCAATTTACGTTTATACTGCGTCTCCAAAACATGGATACAAGGACCTACTCCAATCATCTCCCTGCGTTCTCCTGGTCCAACCTCATCCTCATGCTTCACTCTTTGTGTGTCAGGCGATTCGGCATCCGAAGCTTGCGGTTTTGCTGGTGTTGGGATTGTGCTGAGTGTCAAGGCCGAGCGTTGACTTCTCGATTGGATTCCGGTCAATAGCCAGCAATGCGCTGTGCGTCTGGACGGTTCCGTACGGATCAACGAATACAGAAAGAAGCGTCGATGCTTATTCGTCGTATCCGCGTATGCACCAGCAGATGGCAGTTGCTTGGAAATGAAGGATGAATTCTACAAGGACCTCTATAAACTTCTTCAAAGTGCTCGGTCAACAGAAATCGTGGTAGTCGCGGGAGACTTCAATGCTCAAGTGGGATCCCTGGACGAACCAGAAAGGCTACTTGGTGGTTCACATGCAACCTCAGCTAACCGAACTGACAACGGAGATCGCCTACTCCAACTTTGCGCTGACCCCAGACTGTTTCTATCAAGCATGAACTTCTCGAACAAGAAACGACGTCGCCTTACATGGAGACCGCTAACCGCTTCACAGCACTGGACTCAGATCAACCACATCTCCATCAGCCACCGCTGGCGTGGATTCATTGAAGACTGCCGCTCCTACTGTGGACACGGACCATGCTATGCTATGAGCGAGATTCTCTCGACGCCTAGTAAACATCGCCAAAAGGCCACAAAAAACATGCCCACAATACACTAGTAGCACCAGTTGCAAATCGGCCTTGAAAGCGGAACTATCAGATCGCCTCTCAGCTCAACCGTCAGCTGGAAGGCTCACTGACCACTGAACAACGATCAAGGAAGCGATCCAAAAATCGATTAGGACAGATCCAAATTCTGGCGCAGGACCAAATAAAAAAACGATGAATCTCCGAGACTTTGGGTTGCCCTTCTGGACGCTCGCAAAGCCAGTCCTTCGGGTTCAAGATACGACAAAGCGCTTAAATCCGTTAAATGCCAGCTCATCAAGAGTCTGAGGAATGACCGCGAGAAGTGGTGGATATGGAAGTCTAGAGAAGTGGAGAAGGCTGCGGTTATCAGTAATATTCACTATCTTTTTCGTTAAATTAGAAGTACAGGTCCAAGGAAAGTAGGCGTGAGGTAATTAAGGAGTCCGAAGGCACACTGATTCATATTCAGCAACGTCGTGTTTAACGTTGGGTAGAACATTTCAGGGCACACCTCAGCTGGCCTCCATCGGCACAAGCCCTTCACCTACCCGATTCGACTGTGCAAATAGTACTAGTCAACATCAGTCCTCCAATCAAAATGGAGGAGAAATAAATTATCTCAAAAGCTATATGGCTTCCGGCCCTGACGGGCTGCTCCCATCGGTTTTTAAGGA